TAGTATTAGAAGAATAACCTTACATTAAATAGAAATGTTTTGCTTGTATTAGTCATATGGCACTGATGAATATAGCTTTTGTTAAGTTTCCGAAAATGTTTGATTGTCAACATGTATTGAGAGCTCTAAAGTTTGAAAAACATGGCTAAATTTTGTCTTTCCAGTCAGGTACTATCACTTCTTTGCTTATATCCTACCAATTGCCCCATTGCACAAAATATAAAATTTACCTCTTATTGTGGCTTTCAAGGGAGATCTGGTGGTGTAGCACCAAAGGCATTTGACTGCTAACCAGAAGGCTGGTGATTCAAACCCACCAGCCACTCCTCGGAAGGAAGGTTGGGCAATCTACTTCCATGGTGATGCTGCCTCAGGAACCCAAGGAAGAGTCACTGTGAGTTGAATCTGACACTACGATAGTGGGTTTGGTTTGTGGACTTCAAAATGAAATATGATTTCACTCCAATTTATATCTGGCTTCATTTTGGACTAACATTAACTCACTTTGTCAAGTTCCCTTAAGTCACCCTAACCTTTTTTCTGATCCTCATACTCCCCAAACTCATTCCCACTGCAACATCATATTTACTCTTCATTCTGCTTGGAACATTGTTTTCTCATGTTGTTGCTGCCCCTCCTCTTCTCCTTCCTCCTCCTCCTTTTTCTTTCTCTACCCTCCTTTACTGCTCTCCCCTCACCACTCTGCTCTCTGCCCTCTGCTCTGTCTCATGTTTCCCCCATATGGCCTGAACTCTTACTTCTCTAGAGAGCTTTTCTTTGACCACAGTCTGTAAAGTGGGTTGTTCCCTTGCAGTTACTTCTTTTTCATTGTCACTTGTTTATTTCTTTCACTGTTTATTTTGTTCTTAACACTTGTTCCCATCTGAAACTATCTTACTTATAAAATTGTTGCCCATCTTCCTATGATTGACTTTAATATCCAGGAAAACGCAACTTATCTCTTTTGTTCATTGATGATACTTATTCCCTTTAATAACATTTGCACAGAACAAGTGTTACTGAAGGAAAGATAGAAGAGAGGAGAATTTAGTGTTTTGGCCTTCATTTGAGTGGGTTAAGTTATTGAATTACCAGTAGGTAGCTTCACATACTAAGATGTTCTTCTTCATGGATTAACTCCAGTAACAGCTTAAAAGAAAGTCCCCATTGCAGAAGGTCAAACTAGCCAAAATCTGCAAATGTGCTGTTCTGTTTTAGGCATGAGTAATTTGCTGGAATTTAGCCATGGGCATATGAAAGGTTAGAACTTTTTGAAATATTAATAGTTGGTACTTAAAAACAAGGACAATAATATTTATCCAGAGTATTAGATTTGTAGTCATTCTGTTTTGTGAGCTTTTCTGTGTGTGTTTTTTTGTTTTGTTTTTGTTTTTGTTTTTCTTAATATGGGATAGTGGTCTGTAAACCTGACACTTTAGGCTGCAGGTGATGGGTGGTGGTATAAGTAAGTGTCTGTGAAGGGAAAAGAAATAGACTTATTTCTCTAAAGGAATATCGTACAGCAAGTCTGTTTGGATATATTCCTTTTGGCAGATCATTCAAAATAACTTGATGCTCAGCCCATGGATCTAAAAATGTTTTTGAAACACAATCCCAGCATCCAGTTAATTCAAAGACAAATTGTTCTGAGACTACTACTGCTAAGTCTAGGATACCTGCAGGATATAGTGCTTTATCCAACATTAATTTAGTACCTGGAAAAATATCAAGATATATTTCCTAAGGGTTTGTTGTTGTTGTTGTTATGTGCCGTCGAGTCAAACCTGACTCATAGCGACCCCTCCTTGGGTTTTATTTCACTGGATACTATTGATTTCATAATTATTATTCCTTAAAACTTATTGTGTGTGCAATGTGGAACTTTATGCCTGACAGATAGAAAAACCATAATCTTTGTCCTTGAGAATACTAAATTGAGAAATTAAAGACAATCCCACAAAACCATATGTGGATATAGAGATGCAAAGAATATCACCTTGGCAAGCACTGTGGTTTAAAAGAAAAGGAAATTATATAACCAAATACATTGGAGGCATCAATAAAGGAATTTTAAGTGTTTATTCAATCAGATTTCTCCATTTTTTGAAATATTTAGAAGGGAATTGAGAGAAATAATCTAATATTTCAAGGATCCTATTTTATGTTATGAGCAGGATTTTACAATAAATATGACTTTTGAATATAACAAAGTTCTGTAACATGGAGCGAGATGATGTATTGGTAGTCCTTGAGTTACAGTGTGCATTTTTGAGCTGCAATGAACAGCATTTATGATGTCTTTTTTTTTTTTTTTTGGTTAGGAGCTTATCATTAGTAATATGTACTACATATAATGTTGCAGTGTGTAATTTGCTGATGTTATCATTCTCAGATATAATGTGTGCAACCCCAAAAGACAAATGAAGACCTTATTTATAGTGGTAATAAAAGGCAATAATAATGAAAACTAAAAAAAAAGAGGTATTGGACTTACACAAGAACTGTCTTACCACAGAGTGGTTGTTGGAATGGAACCCCTTCATAAATCAGAACTACCTGTATAGTAAGGTTCAGGTTTGTTTGCAGCTCCTATTAAGCACAATAGAATTTTATGATAACAAAAGTTCTGTAGTTCTCCAACTCAGTCAGTCTCACTAAATGTTTTAGAAAGCTAAGACAATGGAGGGAAATGGAAGTACTAATAGCAACATCATATCGTGAAAGAATTAACATATCTCCCAAATTATTAATTTTTCTCAAAATCAATCTGTCTTTGTGGAAATGGGAGGAGCTCTTTTAATTTGACTTATAAAATGGTTAAGCCAAGCACGAGTTCAGTTTATTCAGATAAATTATCAAATTTTAGTTTAATTGATTGAATCTTTGACCAGATTAATCTAATAAATCAATTAATTTGATAATGTTTCTGTGAGATTAACAATCTGCTCTAGTTATTTAAGGTATATAGACACTTATACAATTAGATGAATCAGAGGCATTACTCTAGTTCCTGTTCTTCAGGAGTTTCTCCAAATAGTAACTGGGAAATTTAGAGGAATGAAAAGAAATGCCAAAAACAAGATAAAAATCTTATCCAGGGAGTCAATACATTCATCTCATTACTAATGCCATGAACAGAGCAAAGCCCAGCCTATTTCCCTTGTATTCCCTCTTCAGGCTTCCCTTTGGGGCCTACCACTTGGTCCTTCTGAAACTGATTGCAGCCAAGTAACTCAAACAGATCGGACGATGGCAGCATTTGCCACAAACGATTATTTGCCTTGAAAGGGCTGTGTCTGAATCCATTGCATCTCTGAATAGATTTTGCTTCTAAAGTATCTAACTTGTTTGCTGGGTTTTGTTTTGTTTTAAGTGGCTTACTCTCAGTTCCCCTCCTACCATTTGTGACCATCAATGAATGTTTCTTTTTGTGTGAAAACCTTTTCTTGACTTTTTGAAATAGTGGTTTCATATAATATTTGTCTTTCTGTGATTGACTAATTTCACTCAGCATAATGTCCTCTAGGTTCATCTTTGTTATAAGATGTTTTGTAGATTTATTGTCATTCTTTAACATCTCATAGTATTCCATTGTGTTATATGTACAACAGTTTGTTTATCCATTCATCCACTGAAAACATTTAAGTTGTTTCCATCTTTTTGCCATTATGAATAATGCTGTAAATAACATGGGTATACATATATCTGTCTCATGGCTCTTATTTCTCTAGGATATATACTTAATAGTGCGATTGCTTGATCATATGGTATTTCTATTTTCAACTGCTTAAGGAAGCACCATACCATTTTCCACAGTGGTTGCACTATTTTACAATCCCACCAGCAGTGTCTCCACACCCTTGCCAGCATTTGTTACCTTCTATTTTTTTAAACTTTGCCATTAATGCATTTTTTAAACATAATACCCAACCCAATCCTGACAACTTGCACAACACAGGGAATCTGAAAGATTTCTAATACTAATTAACTTCATTTAGACATGCAAGAATAAAAACTATTCAAGCCCAAATAACTCTATACGAGCAAAAATGGGGGTCCCTGGGTGTTATAAACAGTTAACATCCTCAGTTGCTAATTAGAAGCTTGAAGGTTTATATCTTGTCAGAGGCATCTCTAAAGAAAGGCCTGGAAATCTACTTCTGAAAAATCATCCATTGGAAGCCCTTACACAGATTGAAAACTCTTACACAAATTGAAAAGTCTTACGCAAATTGAAAAGTCTTACACAAATTGAAAACTCTTACATAAATGAGGTCAACATGAATCAGAATCAATTTGATGACAACTGGTATCATAAGCAAAAGTGTATCTGTAAACATATATTTATATTATAGATAATTCAAAATAAGTAATCAATGTTACTTAAGAGAATATATATATTGTTGTGGAGGCTTTTTTCAAAGCTGTGTGAAAAGAAAAGAAGCTTGAAAGGAAATATTGACAATGGCATATCTTGAGGCAACAGTCAGGAAATGGCCCTGTGGAGGAAAATTGGCCCTTGTACAAACTGAAAATCTGCCTTACTTCATTATGTACTCATTTTTTTAAACATACTCATAAATATTCTTCCAAAAATATTATCTCATATGCATCCTTAAATTTCTAACCAAAAACAATTGTTAGTGTTAATTATAAAGAATTGACTCATACTCTGAAAAAAGAGGATTAATATACAACTTTCCCAAAAATAATTAATTGGAAAGTAGTATCAGTCCTCATTGATGTTTTCCTTCTTTCTCTTTGCACTTTGCTTCAGAAGTCACATACTTAATATTCATGTAAACTGTTTTCCTGGCAGTAGGTCAGTATCTTCTCAATGAAGAACGCATTGATGATACAGAATAGAACTTTTCTCCCCCCTTAAATAGAAGGCAGCCTATTATTCAGTGTCTTTTTCATCATATTGAAGAACAGGGGAGTTTTTATTTTTTCCTAAAAATGGCCTTTCAGATTCAGTAACAACATGTTCTGTTTTTCAGGAAGTAAGAGATCGAGATAGGGCGCGGCTGGACTCCATGGTGCTGCTAATTATGAAACTGGACCAACTTGATCAGGACATTGAGAATGCTCTCAGCACCAGCTCTTCTCCATCCAGCACACCGACAAATCCACGGCGGCACGTGCCTGTGAGCTTCCCACCTACCAATTTCCTCCATAAGAATATCTCATTAGTTCATACTGTCCCATTTGAAAATGAAACATCTTTGATGGCAGCATCTATCAATATGTGACCTTGATAGTTTCCTATAAAAAGTATTCAAATAATTCTCTGTATCGTGTAGAGTACATAGGAGAATGTGTGATTCAAGGGAAACATTTATCATTAGCTAGACAGGAAAAAGGATCATTGTGGGAAATACTTCCTAGTGAACAAATTCTCTTTCCTCTAGTTGATCGCCAAATTATCAGTCTTCTCTGATATGATATAAACCCCATTAGCAAGTGCTGTGTCTATCTCATTTGGTGTTTTATATCCCAGTGTCTCATAAATTTCAAGTGCATGTTGATGTAGTGCCTAAGGCATCTAACTGCTAACCAGAAGGCTGAGGTTCAAACCCACCAGCCACTCCTCGGAAGGAAGATTGGGCAATCTACTTCCATAGTGATACCGCCTCAGAAACCCAAGGAGGGGTCGCTATGAGTAGAATTGACTCATCAGCGGTGAGTTTTTTTCTTTCCTTTTCTTTTCTTTTATGTAAAACAAACAAACAAACAAAATAGTTGCTGCCAGTCAGTTTCAACTCATCATGATCTCGTGTGTCAGAGTAGAATTATGCTTCAAAGCATTTTCAATGGCTGATTTATTCAAAAGTAGATCTCCAGATTTCTCTCCTAAGGTCCCACTGGGTGAACTGAAACCTCCAACCTTTCAGCTCTGCTAACTGTTTGCTCTGCTCAAAAGGCTCCACATTACATATACACTACATTTAGTAAATATTTGTTGCATGCACGCATGTATGGGTTCTTGGATAGATTGATGAATGCTGGTTAAACTAACCCAGTATATACTACAAGAAAGAATTTAGATGACAGTAACTTGAGAATGCCCTAAAATTCACTTAGTGAGGTACATTGAGATGATACAATAACAGAAATGAGAAATTATACCTCCTTCTGAGATTTTCAGGCTCAAAATAAAATTTTAAATATACAGATTGTAGGACCAACAATTTACTTTACATATTTAATGTTATCTCATATAAATTGGCTTAGTTTGTGCATATCTGGCAAAAGTGAGAGAAAAGTTTATTTATGATGAAGCCTTGAATCCCTTTTCAATTAATCTACTACTTGTGTTATACATTAACAAACACATTAAATCAAGAAATTTTGCATTCACCTAAGATAAAAGAGGTGAAAATCATGTGTATATATATATATCATTTGATCACCTACTGAAATAGAACTCCCATATCAAATTCTTTGTTTATATAATTCTACCATTGATTTTTGAAGTTATTAAAGAATTATTATGACTGTAGGGCAGAATATTTCAAAGTAAATAAACATAATAAAATGATAGCTAACACTATATGTAAGGTATTATTTTACATAGTTTACATATGTTAACACAATTATTCTTCACAACATTTTTCAAATGAGGAAAAGGTATAGAGAGTATGCCTTAGTAATTTCATGTGCAGAGCTGAGATAAAACCCCAGCAGTCTAACTCCAAAGCCAAGTCATTCAACTGCTACATCATAGAACCTTGTATGAACGATTTTAATGGGAATGTGATAGCTTGAACAACAGCACAAATTAATAAAGAATAGATTGCTGTTGTTGTTGTTATGTGCCGTCGAGTCAGACCCAACTCATAGCGACCCCTCCTTGGGTTTCCGAGGCAGTATCACTATGGAAGTAGATTGCCCAATCTTCCTTCTGAGGAGTGCCTGGTGGGTTGAAACCACCAGCCTTCTGGTTAGCATTTAAGTGCCTTAGCCACTATGCTACCAAAGCTCCCAAAGAATAGATTAGTATAAATTAAATACTTCAACCTACAAATCCAGTAACAATGGAATTTTTGTCCTTGTTCAAAACCTTCTGAATAATATTTTAGTCTTCAGAGTTCATCTCAAATGTTTTCTTTACAATGAAGTCCTCCCTAAAGTCTTAGCCTTCAACCTTCCCAGACAGAATCACTTACTCCCTCCATAGTGTTACCAGAGCATCTTGGATGTAATATAGTTTTAACACAAATATAACAGGCAACCAAATGGAGGAAATGCATTCAAAGTTATCTCCTGGAGACTAAAATGAAGGGATATTTTAGTTGTTTTACATGTGGAGGCTGTATAGAAGCTTCATATTTATTTTCAACAACATTTTTAAAGCCAAGAATACTCATATTTGTCAATAGAAGGTACTTAGTACTTTTTTTGCCTCTACTTCAGGTCTGGGATATTTTTTTTCCTTCCTGAAAGTTTTCTAGTGTGAATTGTTAATATCTCTTTATCTTTTTAATCTCTCCATTTTTCCCTCTACTGGTAATTTTTCTCAATCCTTCTATATTTGGGAGAAAAGGCACAGCCTCAATTTCTACTGAATACAATTCCATTGTGTTGTCTCTGTCTTAAAAGCAAGATGCTCCTTACGTGCTAGGACTAGTTGTTTACTGAATGGTAAAGGTGAAGCAAAAACAGGAATTAAGATGGGTAATGATTTTAAGATTGACCCCCATCTACATCTTCTAACCAATAACCAAGAAGTTGTCATTGAGTTGACTCCAACTCATGGCAACTCCATATGTCAGAGGACCTATGCTCCATACGGTTTTCAATGACTGATTTTTTGGAAGTAGATCACCAGCCCTTTCTTCCAAGGCACCTCTGGGTAGACTCGACCCTCCAGACTTTCAGTTAGTAGCTGATTGCATTAACTCTTTGTACACCCAAGGACTAACTACATCTTCAACCTCCATTTAAATTGTGAGCTGGAATTTATATTATATGCACTATCTCATGCACCATTGCTGAAAAATTGTTCGTTCTACAAATAAAGATGTTTCAAAGCTCTATGTTCAATATATTGTTGAAATGGGCAAAATAATACATGGAACAGTTATAACTTTGGAGTCTGACATGCCTGGGTTCGAATCCCAGCTCTGTAACTGACTACCTGAGAACATTTGAAAATTATTAACTTCTAAAAGTCAGGTTCGTGTAAAAATGGGAATATTGCTTCCTAACTTTTTTTGGGAGAAGTAAATGAAAGGACATATGTAAAATGTATCTCTCAGATCTGGCATAGAGTACATATTTAATACGGACAGTCTCTGGATTATGAATGAGTTCTGTCTTAGATCTGGCTTTAAGTTGTATTTGTATGTTAAGTCACAACAGTTAGATACTCTTTGTATCTAATGCCAGTTAGTCAAATATTTGTCTTAAGTACATACTCTAAGTGTACCTTTCTAAGCATAAAAGCATTAAAGAAACACTTCCAAATACACTGAAACATCTTTAATACAATAATACAGTACTAATAATGTTTTGATGCACTGTTGGAAAGTAGCACCCATTTGTTATTACAAATCATTATATGTCCCTTGACTTTTTAATATAATAAGCTTTATGGGGGTTGGTTCATAACTACAGGTTTCACATTAGTCTGATGTTCGTAACCCAGAGACTGCTTGTAATTATTAATTCCTTTTTCTTTTCCCTCTCCTCCTCACCTGGTATACTCACCATACCAGGAACTGGATTAAAGTTGAGTAAGACATATCCTGCAGTCCTCAAAACTTTTTTTTTGGTCTTTATGTTTTTCTAGGTCAGCCTTTGTTCTTTATTTCTGTTCCTTAGTACTTAAAAACTAATTTTAGCATTCTCTCATGATCAGTTTTTCCACAGCCACTTTCCATTCCTTTTGATAATTGTGCCATGGAATGAGGGGATTATAGTGTTATGATTATGACCTTGATCATCTACCAAGGAGCACTGTCCCAAATTCAGAAGAAAAACTCCTTCTATACCACTCTCACACTTCACAGTGAGTTTAGCTTATCAGAGATGAAATAGTGACCCTAGTTTGAGATAATTTATGAAAGAAAATGTGATAATGAGTTCTAAGTATAATAAAGAGTGTAAAGAATAATGGAGTAGAAGTGTTGGTTCCGTGGTAGATTTCTCCTCTTCTGTGTGTGAGACCCAGATTCGATTCCTGTCCAGTATACCTCATGTGCATCTGCTACCCATCTATCAGTGGAGGTTTGCATTTTGCTATGATGCTGAACAGGTTTCAAGGGAGCTTTCAGACTAAGATGAACAATGAAGAAAGGCCGGTGGATCTAGTTCTGAAAACTAGCCAGTGAAAACTTTTTGAATCACAATAATTCCATTCACTACCGATCGCACAGCTGATGCAGAACTCAACAGCTTTTCCTTCCTTTGAGCCTGGGTGCCATGAGTCACTGACCACTCAACAGCAGCTAACAACAATAACATAAAGACTGGAGTCATTAAGAATGTCTTCAAGGAGAAAAAGAAATACATTAAGGGTAGAGATAAAGATAGTATGATAGAAAAGTGTATCTAGATAGAGCCTTAAATCTTGGTGATACCTTGGATTCACCACAGACCACAGGCAAGGGCCTGGTTTTTTTCTTTTGCAGTCCAAAAACTTGATTTTGTCCAAGCACCCAGAGGCTGCCAGTCAATCTTAAACTGGCTAATGATAGCCAATATCACAGAGTAGTGTGGGGTGAAGAAGAAGACAGTGAGATTTACTGAGCATAAACCCTTATGTATATACCTCATTTATCCTCTCAACAATTCGTAAATGAGAAATATGAACTTCAGAGAGGATGAGTGGTTTACATAGGGTCACAAAGATGGTGAATGGCGAAAATGATATTTACCTCCATGCTCATACTACTATATTTTAAGCCTTCCGAAGATGCAAACTGTGTGTTAGCAATAGAATAATAGCATGTCCAGAACCAGAATATCCTTGTATTCAGGTTGCTTTTCCCTAATAGCAAGGTATGTTGAAGGTTGAGACACTAATGTGTTTTTGAGTCAACATGTAATCTAGGGGAAATTGACCATCTCTTGGGATATTTCATCCATGCCATAGAGAAGTTTAGGAAACATGTGGACAGTACCACTTCACTACTTTTAATTG